TCCTCCAACTTGAATTACAAAGAATGAGTTCTGTGGATGTATCTCCTCCTCTACATGGTAAATGATTCACAGGGGAACAAATTTTCAAAACAAACTCAAACAAAGTTTTAATTTTCAAAATCGACCCATTTTTTTTTAATTACCAAAATCGACCCACTTTATGCCACGTAAGCTTAATCACATTTCCTAATTAGTCGGCGTTGCCAACCCCGACTATTTACGGCATTAAAATCGGGTTTAAGACTTCTAATTAGGGTTTAACAATCTCCTAAACAGTCGGGGTTGGCAACCCCGACTAATTAGGAAATGAGATTAAGCTTACGTGGCATAAAGTGGGTCGATTTTGGTAATTAAAAAAAATGAGTCGATTTTGAAAATTAAAACTTTGTTTGAGTCTGTTTTGAAAATTTGTTCGGAATAATTTGATGCGGGAGGATTAAGGGGGATATTTATAGGAGATGGAGTTAGTGTGAGTCCAAAATTCTTTATTCTATTTTGGTATTTTTAGTAGGATTATATCTTCAAAAAAAAACCTTCTTTTATTTACGGCATAATGGTACGAGTATCAATATTTTGGCAATCGGGATAGTACTTTTGCTAGGATTTAACGTTAAGGTGTTATTGATTTAGAAATAGGATGTGGATATTAACTTTAAGGTGTTATTGGTTTAGTATTAGGATTTCGGATTTAACTTATGGTGCTATTGGTTGTTTAGGATTATGATTAGGACTAGAATTTAACAATTCAACTCCCAGTCCTACTATGTACATTCCAGTGTGAAAATTTCCATGAAATGACCAAGTTAAAATCGGAGATCTCTTAGGATTTTCTCTCCCCTTCCTTTAATGAGTCCACATTTGAAAAAGCACTACTAACTAATATTTGTAACACATTTCTAGTTAATATTAAATATTAATGCTTAATATTATATAGTTAATTAGTAGAATAGTAAATATATTCAACATTAACTATATTTAATTATTAATACATTTAATACATAAATGAAATATATTTAATAGTTAATATTATTTAATCATTTTATATTTAATTTATTTAATAATTTATTATTTTTAATATATTATATTAAGTTTTAATATAATATCTGTTTAAGTATTAGATAAGAAGTATAGTAAACATGTAAATATTTAATATTTAATATTATTTAGTATTCACACCTTTATATTTAATGTTACACATTTAATAGTCTAAAATATTTGATATTAAATATATTAATTATTTATCATATGTTAAATATGTAAATAAACTACTAAATATTAATTATTAAATATCTATTTAACATTTATCTCAGTTTATTTCCAATATTTATATATTTAATATATATTTAGTATAAGATAAGAAATATAGAAAATAGGAAGTATTAACAATAATTAATATTTCATATATTAAATAAAAAAGTTATTATATAACTTTATATTTAATTGAATGTCTGACAAAATTTTCCATTATATTTAATGTTTACATATATATATGTACAAATTAATAGTAAAACTTTATCTTAAATTGTAATTATATAAAAGTATTAATTAAATAATAATTATGTTTTTTGATAAAAGAATTGTTATGTTTGTTAATAATTATTTAACACTCAGCTCTAGAATCCATTCAAAAGTTTAATAATCCTTGTAAAAAGTGCAGGAGTCTAACCAAAATATCCTAGTCCTAATCCTAATCGGAATCCTAAAATATAGGATTCTCGAATAATAATCCTATTCTTACCAGGCAATCCCAAATGAATAACACCTGCTAAAGTCTAGTTGGATATCACAAGTTGTCTATGTAACTATACAATGATGATAAGCATCCATCACTGCATGGAATCATAAGTAACACAAGGCCATCAAGCATATATGTGCGGGGATATTGTAGACCAAAAGGCCTTCTATGTCATAGGCTATATATCTTATAGTTATTTTACTAATGGGCAATTATGTATTTTATAGTGATACTAATAATGCGATAATGTAGTTTTTTCAAAATATGAAAACTCGTCGGGACACTTGTAAGGGCTTTAATTAGTAATTATGTAGTGACAGTAGTTTCCATAAATCCAGGATCCTCCACTATTCATTCATAGAAATTCAGATGAACAGGGAAATTAAAAAACGTGTCATTTGAAAAATTAGTATAACAACTAGTTGAGAGAAATTTTTTTTAGAAACAATGAATTTGAACTTTCCTCATATTGAAGAAGGATATACTTACAAATCCCCATCCGCTCTTTGTGAATTGCTCGCCCACCATCTTGAACTTGCAGTAGCGGGATAAAAAGAACTGAATGTATGGCAGCTCATCTACAACTGCAGCAACTCCACCGCGGTTCTGTCCACGCTCCAAGGCATTGGCATAATCTTCAGGTTGCACTAACTGTACCAACCTCGACTCGGCAATGTGGAGTTCTTTGATTAGGTAGTTCTTTGCAAATGATCCAACCTGATACCCAATACGATCTCTACTTGAAACCAAACTGTCGATCCCTTCAATCCCTAATGAGAGCCGTTGAACAGTTAAGATTGATGTCAGGCTCGCTGTGTAGCTGTAAGTGATTATGAGTACAACAAAAAGCCATACACCCAGCACAAACTTTGCAAGGGTGCTCCTAATTTTCTGTCCTGAGATAACAAAACCTAAAATTAGAATGGGACTGATGAGTTCATAAATAGGGATGCTCTTTTATAGGATAAAATAGAAAGAAGAATTATAGAAAAAAGGGGGGGAAAGATAGATTTCAAGCTGGTCATATGATTTACTCACGGTTTGCAAAAAACACTGTTGAACAGCTAAACCTGCAAGTTCAACAGGACCGAGGGTGAGCTTTTGTACTTCCTCAGAAGAAGGTCATGGCTTTAAACAAACAAATTGAACTCGAACAAAAATAGAAACGGATAACTCAAAGGAAAAGAAAAAAAAAATCGCCATTGTAATGTGAAACATTGAATGGAAGGATATAAATTGACATTACATTCAAGCCCACATATTTCTCGTATGAATCGTTGGATATCATGAAGAACAATTTTTAGGCAGACCTGTTCTACTTTGATAACTAGGGATCAATCTTCCTGTTCAGAGTGGGGACTATCAGTAAAAAATTCCTAATATCCTTAATATTTTCTACTATCACTTAACTATCTTCCATGTTCAAAATTAGCTAGGAGCAATTGGAACTCAACTTTTGTTGATATTACACACCAATTTACATAAACTGCAATGACGCAAATTGATTAATTGTTTGTTTTCCTCAAAACTTTTTTGCTTGTCATTATTTTTGCAATAATGCAGAGATAGTCCAGATGAATCTACTAGCTAGTAACGTGTTCTATTGATCATAAATTGAATGGTAAAAGATACTGACCAGAAAATTGTCACAAGCTGTTCCCTTGGAGATCCACGAAACTCTGTATTCAGACGATGCTCCAGGATCCAAACTGCTGCTCCGATAATAACAAAAAAAGCCCCTGTCACACACCACATTTGCAGAGTGAATGGTTTGAGAAAAGTCCAAGGACTCGATTTAGTTTCTTTTGCCCAAGCAACTACAGTAAGGCTTGATTCCATGAAAGGTTGTGTGAAGTCCACAATCCTCGTTCGAGGGGTCACAATTGTTATGTCCCCGACCGCCGCATCAAAGTACTAAGGAGTAATGCACATCAGTACTAAAATTCCATGGGTCAAGCAAAGTAAAGACTTTATATAAGTAAAAAAAATGTAAATATAGTTCTGTTATAAGAGTAAAAACCCACATTATCAGCAACTTTCTGCACAAGATCACTGTAATTTGGATTCTTTACACCATCTCCAAATGGGATGAACATGTGTGGAACTGGATACGGCAACAAGTCAACTGCAGCTTCAAACACATCAATACAATACCCTTTTACGCCGCCAGAGTCGCTATCTTTTGTTACAAAATCCTTATAACTGGATCGGTAGGGAACTCCAATTCTCAGAGGCTTCCTATTGTTTGGAAACACCCAGCCACGTGGCCTCACTTTTGTTTCACCAGGCCAAGTGACACGAAGGAGTTGTTGACTAGTGAAGCTAGTGTTTTTCGGTTTTCCGTACAATTTTTCTGGAGCAACGACTGAGAGACCCGAATAATTAGACCAGAATCCAATTCTGTGTGGACCGGATCCTACAATGTTGAGAATGTCATACTCTGGAAGGATTGAATTTCTATCTGAACTAAACTGAACTCGACCAGTTAAGCCCGTAAAGTCAGCAAGCAGCACTTTCTGAAGTAAATTAGCACCTTCGACAAAGGACTTAAGAGCTCCTAGATTAAGAACACTTGCATTGGCACGAGGCAAACCTGAATCACTGGAGAAAGAAATGGTCTGCCTTTCCCTAAGAAACTGATCGATAGCATGAGCAACTAACCAAACCGAATCATATGCATACATCCCGTAAGTGTTCAAACCAAAACTGGTATTTTCTTTCTGAATTATATTATCCCAGCGTGACATAAATGAGGTTTTGATGTCAGAATCTGGAATATGTTGGCGAAGGGTAACCACCCCTTTTATTATGTCAAGATCTGTGGCCTTCGAAGAATCCAAGACTGTAGTAAGCCAATCCGTTGCTATCCACACATAGCCGCTAGCCATCATTCCCAATTCTTTTGCAATGGAGAAAATTATAAGTCCTGAGTCAGGGTTTACATGGACAACGTAAACCCTTGATTCCATTAGATTGATCTCTGACAATAAACTTTTTATCCTTCTTCTGTTAGCGTAGGGGGGGAAAGCAGCTTTGCTGATCTTTGAGCGATAACTTTCAACAGCATTGCCTAATGCCTCTACCCCTCCTCTCCCGTAGTCGTCGTCTACAAAGATGGCGATTATCTCTCTCCATCCATTATATTTTATTACATCTGCTACCGCGTTCATTTGGAAAAGATCATTTTGAGTTGTTCGAACGAAATAAGGGTATTCCATTGAAGAAAGGGTGGGATCTGTGGCCCCAAACGAGAGAAGAGGGAGATGAAGTTTATTCGCAACATGGGAGACTACACGGGCAATGCCGGATGATTGTGGGCCGATTATGGCGACAACGTCATTCATCATCAGCTGCAAGGCTGCAGAAGAGGAGTTTTGGTAATAAAACTCATTCAAGAAACAAATAGAAAACACTCACAGAGTTTAAGCCAATTCAAGCAGGAACTTCTACTGATATGTATATGTCGGCACTAACTGCACATATTCTTGCAATTATTAGAAATGGACACACAAACACATGTATTGGAACAGACAAAAAACCTAAAAATATAGCTTATGAGGATTCAGTTAATCTGAAGAGTCATTTCAAACTTTAATACAGTGACCCAAAGCTCCGTATTTGAACATAATACCATAAATTCTGGTTTAAAAAAAGGAGAAAAGAAGACATAATACCATAAACATCCCCCTTCTTATCCAAACCCAACAAAAATAACACCTATCATGACATTAAAAGGGGTTTTTGCCTTTGAACTATGGTCAAAGAATGACAGGATTCAACAAATTTAAATGTCAAAACTATGGTCAAAGAATGACAGGATTCAACGAATTTAAATGTCTGGCACAGAATGGTATTATAAAACAGCAACAATCAGGAAATTTTACATAACGCAACAGAAGATACCAATACCTTCAATAGTCCCAATAAATCCACTGCAGTTTGTGTCCTGCATAATCACATTCAACCTTGTGCCGGAGAGAATGCTCGGATTTTTGTTCACATCCTCAACTGCGAGCTCAATTGCGAGCTTTGCGACCCTTCCAATTGTGGAATCAAAAGCTAAAAGAGCCCCCACATTCACAACACTCTGCCTCAAGGGGGCAACACTGCTGTTTTGGCTCCGGGTCAAACCTCCAACTAGCAAAATCAAGTAGCACAAAACCAACAGCCTAGCGGAAACCAAACCCATTTCTGGGTATTGAGCTGGCCTAGTTGGCAAGATTGGTGATTTGGCCGGAATTTTCTCTCTGTTTATAATTTCATGTGATTATCAGAACCCAGATGGGAAAATTCTTCGAAGTTTTTACACAAGGCAAAGGAAACAGAGAGAAAAGTGAGGTTTAATATTCATCAGAGAAGCTCATGCTTTCTTCAGGCCTTCAGAGGTTGAAAAATAGAGGGGACCATATAGATCTTCCATGACAACAAGCTAAGAATATTGATAGGATGCTTTAAAAATTGGTAATAGACCAATAAGTCACATATAGGGATAATTTCCAAGCTACAGCAAGAGAGCTAACAAATTTAAAGATCATGAATGGGAATCCAGTGTACAGAGAAGAACCTGAAATGTCTGTATCATTTCTACAAGTGGAGCACTATACATTGTGTGGTTGGGAGAACCTCACCACTGTATTGCTGCTATTATTCCAAGAAAAGTCATTCCAAGGAAGTAGTTATCATATCAGAATCTCCGACACGGTGTGGAAACAAAGGGTCTCCATGCATGTTCAGTAAACTGCAGTCATGAATCAACTTTATCACAAATTTAGCCTTTAAGACCAAAATTTACTTGTAAATGTCCAATTAGTTAGAGGGACAACATTTTGTTTAGAACCTCTTGTACAAAAAATCTTGTTAGTTCCAAGACAGCCGCTATATTTTCAGTAAATATACTTTTCATGCTTGTCAAATACATGCCGAGAGGATGACGTGGTACTACAGGAGTTCCTAGCTGCCCTAGTTAATTGCATGGGATTGAAATAAAGGCTTATGGCCTTCTATTACCTAGAAAAAGGAAAGAAAATGAGGCATTTCAACAGAAAAATTATCCGACTTATTTCTTAAAAAAAACAAAGAATTTAAGCTGTGTCAAAAAAACCAAAGTACTTTTCTAGTCAGATTTCTTCTTGCACTATTTAACTTTAATCTGGTCTATTCAAACAGAAAGTATTTGACTCCTGCTCAATATTGCAAGTCATGTAACTCTCAAGATGTTCAAAACAAAGAGGCCATATAGCCAAATTCAACGATTACATAGTTTGAAAAGAAAATGATTCTTGGACACAAATTTCAATAATACAAACCATCGTTACTTGGAGGATGGGGTTAAATATACAGGCCATTGTTGCTTTAAAAAGGAAAGACTATCATAAGAGAAATTAATTGATATCATATTTGACGAACAATCACATAGAAGGTGAGTATAAGCACTTTAAGCAATAGGAACGGTAAATAAAATCAGTTTGGATATGAGTTAGGTTATCTTTTAGGCAAGAGCAATTCTGAAAATAGTTCACACACAAACCAACCTGGACAAGCAGCACTATCAATTATTTAATGTGGGATTCGAACTGGTTACTCCGATACCATGTCAAAGGATCCAGTCATTACATCAGAACTTTGAAGTTACGGTGAATATTGAGGGCTATAATTTTATATTCTAACAATATCCGTCCATATATGCTATTGTATTAAACCAAATTAATACTGGAAAAAGATAGATAACATAGACGGAAATATACCTTACGGAAAGCAACCATCAGCATTAACATCTGAGGCTTATCTATCACACTTGTGAACCAAGCAACCCCCAGCCTAATCCTTAGAAAATGGATATGAACAGTAAAGGGGCAAGCTATGATGCGTATAAAGCCAGTGAGCTAGTAGCAAGATATAATTAGTTGATATGCTTGTCATCATCACATGTGTAATTGTTTATCGCATTAATATTAAATATGAAATATGAAAAAAAAAAAAAAACTCCCCCCATCGCGAAACTTCGCGCAAAAGACTCGATTCTTTTAATAAATTGGAATTGCTTTCCACCCCTATTTATTCCTTGATTCCTTAATTTAAATATGACAACGCCCAGGCCCCCTTTCTTTTTGTATTTTAATTTATTCATTCATGCACTGCCAACCCACGTCGAGCATCCCTCCACCGTCCTCGCCCACATATATATTCTCGCAGTGATGATACCCCAAGAGCGCTTTTACTTTCATGAGTGATCTTATCCTCGGACAATAAATTTGTTATCGAGGTCTTTTATTCATCCATATATTGATACAAATATGACAATTATTAAAATGATGTTGATGTACTACGGAAAATACGTGCATGCTCATATGGAACTCGTTAAGCTTGTCAGTAAATGTTGACTATATTATTCACTATAAATAAATTTAGATTTTCTGCAAAAGGGACCCATCAAATTAAATTTCAAGCACGAGAAGGAATTCTTATCTCCTGGGAATTTAAGATAATTATAACTCGGAAATTAGTTAGGATCTATACAACAATTAAGGTCATGTTTTTTTTTTTGGGGGGATAGTAACGATATTATTTTAAAGTAGTAGGGACTAAATGAAGCTCACCCCCCCTACTCCATCTTTACAATCCAGGTACTATTCATCTACATGGACTACTAAGATTTTTCGACAAAATAACCCCCTACAATCTTAATTCCATCGGTATGTTTTTTCTTTCTCAATTTATCCAATCGGTCCTTTTTCTTTTCATGGCTTTTATTTCACGAATTTTTTTCCTTGCATTTTTTTAGGATCTCTATGTTTCAGAAATTTTTATTCTAATATATCGGCATCATTATCGACTTAGCTCTTATTCCTCCTCTTAATTGGAGTGCACATTGGTCTTATTTGCACGGTGGCAAACAAACAGCTTCAATCTCGTGGCCACATTTTTTTTCCCCAAACGGCAAATTAATCTTGTGGCCGCATTGAAACGTCTTTTTGAAATTATGCTAATTTTTCCCACATTGTTGTCTTCTTGCCATCTATCATCTAGTATGGCCTTCAAAGCAATGAAGGTTACCTACATCGAACAATGATTATGTACAAAAGTATACTTTTGAAGATTAAGAAATTAGCAACCAATAGAAAAACTGACTACAAATGAAATTTCATAACTAATAAAATCTAAACTAAGGCTACTTAGAAGCTTACCTAAGCCATTATTCTATATTATTTTGCATAAATTGGTCACATAACTCAAGTAATAAGAGCTATATTAATACAGTATAAGTTAACTTGAGGGCAAAATGTCATTGTGACTATAATATTAGTCTGAACGGTCGTGATTCCCCTAAAAATAAACACTAGTATATGGACTATTTTAAATTACTCCGAATGTTAGCCTGTGTGGAGATAAGCATTGGATTAGACTAAAATAAATCCGGGGTAATATTCTCTCAGTACTATAGTCCGGGGAATACAATAACCCTTAGCCCAGGGATAAAAAACAAACGTGGGCTAAGATGTGTGATTTAAAACTTATCAAATGGGATATTAAATGCTAACAATTTTTTTAACTTGATTGAAAATTTCATTTTTATATTAGTATGGAAAAAGTTTTCACATAATTTGAAAGCTTCTAATATGTGTATAAAAGGAGTGATTAAAGTCGAGAAAACTTTACCCATCGTGGGTGATCTGGATGGTTGGAAGGTTTCAATAGGGTTCCTACAGCGTGGGTTTAATTTTGAGCAAGTTATAAAAGAAAAACTAGAGAAAACTTTAAGGTTTGGAAATTATTAAATTTTGAGGCTTCCAAGAAATCTGTATTCTATATATAACATACATAATTCCTAATTTTTAGGAATACCAAATCTAATCATCATATCATATCATACTCCTTTTAAAAGTGGGAGTTATAAAAAAAACTTTCCATAGACAGTATTACCCCTAATCTTTTTTTGATATTACTATCTAATTCTAACTAAATTCAATTAACTATCATAATTAATTAATTATTTTATATGCTACTTGTCAAATTTTTATAACTGAAGACATCTTATATAGCTATAAGCAATATATAAGAACAAATATTTAAATGTTAGTTAGATATTAGTCTCTTGATTTTAAATCTTCAATAATTCTATGTTATCCCTAAAATTTTTGAAATTTCTCATAATTTTAGGGACTAATATTGAATTATTAAAGATTTGAGAGACAAATATAGAAATAAGCCATATTTAAAAGAAGAGTTAATTTTTAAAAACCCCTCAAGTATGGGGGTTTTCTTAAAAAACACTCTCAATTCATTTAATTTGTCTATGAGGGTGTTGTAGATATTCCGCTCAACTTTGTCACGACAACAATTTTAGAACCCCCCCCCCCCCCCCCAAAAAAAAACTTTTGGTGTGTCCCACTAAAACTCCCATGACCTTTACACTTCTCTCAAAAGACTCTCAGAACATAGTTACTTTAGTATGTGATTTAGACAAAATGTCCTCTTTGGGAAAAAAACTCATTTTAGTTTTACAAAAAAATCTCAACTAATAGTAAAAAGACCATGACCAATTATTTATGATGCCTTTTCGCTCTATCTCTCTCTTTTTAATCTAGCAAAAACTAATGTAATTCTTTTATCGTTGAAGGGTAATTGTCATAGAATAGATTAGAACAGTGTTAGTTTTGAGGGGTCAAGTGAGAAAAGTTCAAGGGGTTTAAATCAAAGTTTTAAAGTTGTGATGGATTATCTATATCCCAAACTTGGGGGAGATTTCTCAAATTAAGATAGTTGAGGGAGTTTAGTGACACCCCCTAATAGTTGAGGGGGAGTTTTGCAAAATTAACTCTTAAACAAGGCATGACTTATGCAACATGTGACATCAATTTTATAAGAGTGGATCTTATACCAAGCCTATGATTTAATGGATTGATTTGGGTTATATCTTTAGATTTATCTTTTACATTAACTTCCTTTGCGTTTACTTTAAAATCTATTGCTAAAGATGCTTTATGAGAAATTTACTTTTTATAATTTGGGATGGATCGAAATAGAATCCCTGAAAACTTGGGCTGGAATATTAGACAAGTTCTTCTTCTCAACAAATTACAGAAAACAGATGGAAGAGCGAACGTGCGGATCTACATAGGAAGATTGAGAAAGCAGTGACTCACAAGTAAGGACTCGATCATTCTGATTTTCCTTGCCTTTCACGATCTGAAACAAATTATTTGAAAAATAAATAAATTATGTTGTTCATTTTATATTAATCTTCTTCTTATAGATTTATGAAGCACATAACTTAGATATGGGTAGTGTTGCAAATATTAGATTCTTTTAACTCCTTAATTTAATTTTTTGGATGTCGTTCGACAATGGATAGATTAAAATATTTTGTTAAAATACAATCCATATGAGTGCATAATATGTATAGATCATTCTCGGATTATATTTTATAATTTTTTAACACTAGAGAGTAAACGTTTTTGGAAATTTTAGACAACATTTAGTGTAGTTGGGAAGATATGGAAGGATGGCAATACTAGATTTTGGAATTGAACACATAGTTTGTGTTTTTTCCCATAAATTTGCACGTTTTGACTTAGGGAATTCTAAAAAAAATACTTTGAATTAGTATAATACTTGGCCATCAACTGTAAATAACAAGTGGAAGTAATTTTTTTATAACTAAATAAAGTTTGATAGAACTAGATAAATAACCTATCATTTTTCTTTGATGACTTCAAGAATTATTTTTTTCATTAACAATAAGAGTCTTTTCAATATTGGTCTCTTACATCATTATATTTTGAAATTAGTCCTTCAAATCATTGAAATTGCTCTTAAACTATTTAGCATTTTTTAAGACTTCGAACTTCACTATTCCTCTATAAGGCAAAATGTTGAAGTTAATAAGGTTTATGCATGAAAAAATTTGAAAAGCTTTAATATATTATGGTTACGATAAACATTTTCCCAACAATACTATAATCAATAAATAAATCTAAAATACACAATTAAGATATTTGACCACATGGAATATATGCACGTACATATATTCCACCTAGTACTGTAAATATGTCCCAGATCAAAAGCTATTTACTGCCCATAATATTCAATCATATTACTCTAATTTCTCCCAAAACATTGTTACTGTACGTGCTTTCCGTAATCATGAAGGTGGAGGATATATATGTTTCCTACCCTTTCTCATTATCGTATTCTCCTCAGTGTTGTACTCTCTGCACGTGCAATTTTACAGGTGCGTATACAATGCAGACGAAGAAATGCACGATCCAGAATCATCAAGAGCATGCCAAATTTTGCGCACAAGTCCGAACTTGAACTCCGAGTGCATTATATTATATATGCCAAAAGGAATATTTTGTGCAAGTAATTTTTGCCTCGCTAGCTGTAGCCATATCTTTCCATATTGTCACGTGCATATATGGAAGAGTGGGTCGCCCAGAACCCTGGTTTATACGGCGCGTGCACGGGAGAGAGGGGGTCGCCAAGGACGCTATACGTACTTGTGTAGAATGCTTATTTAGATTGATGATCGATCGACTGTTTAGTTGTTTTCTATAGCGTTGCGGTACTTAATGCGGATTTTTCTGCAGTTTAATTTGTCAGTATTCTCTGAAGTGGCCGGTTTTATTGGCTTAATCATCTCATGAACTTTAATGATGGGTTTATTTTGATTTGTCATCGTATTGGATTTAGGTGATGGTTATTATTACTTTTGGTTAATTGAACTTATTATAAGAGTTATTTTCTTGAATAGGATTTGTCTTATGGATGTTGCTTTCGGCGCTATATAACCATGTATTATTTGAGATATATACTTCGTATGTCACTGAGAACCGGTTCATTAGTTAATTTCAAGTTCTAAATTGCTTGGGTTCGTTATTCGAGTAGTTTCACGAGCCTAAAGATTTTGCTCAAGCTTCGTATATTTGGCCTATAAAAGATATATACTTGAACAAGCAATAGTTGAATTTCTCGGGTCTATATGCATGATCCAATCAAATAGAGAAGCAAATACAGTTTGCAAATGCACGTTCATAATAACAATATCATTACCGCGCGCGTTTAATCATTGTTTTTGCACACTGAGAAGCTATAAAGTAATAGAGCTACTGATCATGAATGAAATTATGATTTACAAGATGTGCCCTAAAATTACATATTAATGCTTTTCCTCCATCTGTGAGGAGAAAAAACAAGTTCCATCTGTGAGAAGCAAAAACAAGATCCCAGATTCAAGCATGACAAGTTTAATTTTTACGCTAAATATCGTAAAGCCCCCTTAATTCTGGATGATTATCAGAAAACACTCCTTAACTTTCAAAATATCAGAGCCCCACCTTAACTTTGTAATGAGAAGTCGCATGCATGTGTAATGTGGATTTTTATGTAATTTTGCAGTTTTCTCTGGTTTGACTTTATTGACATTCTTAGTAAATCGATGGTGTATTTGAGAGTAATTTATCCGTAGGGAAATGATTAGGGCTGCTGCTAACCAAGGAAGGAAAGAAAAGGCTCCGCTTTAAGGTATTCATGTTAGTTCACTAATTTTCACGGTCCTAGAAAATTCCTTCAACCTTGGTTTATCGTAGGGTCATAAATCATAATATAAGTTAATTATCTAATCATGCAGTATAATGCATCTCTTCCTTCTTCGGCACAACACCCAATGATCCGAGGAAATAAAAAATGGTGTCAACCACAACCAAAAATTTTGAAGCTCAAAAAATATAAATCAGATAAGTACAGGTCCAACCATTCAAAAAATTCTGAAACACTTATTACACCACCATGCGCAGAGTTGATCATCAAAGTTTGAAAACATAAACAGAAGTCACCCATTGTTGACAAAAAAAATGTTTGCGCGGTGAATGGCTAGATTATAACTGAAGAAATCAGATGCGTTAGTTCTGCATTTCATACATCAAGTAGAGTCTTGAACTTCAGAGCGATGGGGCTCAACATGATCGCACTGGCTAAAGCAGCTCCAAATATACGATGAGAGATTGAGTACGTCGCACTCAGCTGTGGTTTCTTGAGAGCCAAATGAGGTGACAATGGACGGTTTGAGGAAGCTCCATTTGGGGATGATGAAAGAGCCTGGGTTCCATGGAGTGCTCTGCTTCCATGTGGCACACCACTTGGCTGCTGAGAGGTCTTTGTATGGAAAAAAGAGCCTTTGGGCATCGTCATTGGGGTTTTGTGTTCGAGTCTAGACTTTGAGTCTTTGTCAGAGAGATAACCTGGGATTATAAAACATAAGATTCTTACCTATGCAAAGCTACTTGGTTCAGGATTAACAAACTTTTTAGTTTTAAATTGTAAGATATGATACAATAAGTAGCGAGATGGGATTGCAGTCTCATACCTCGAAGTGCAAATGGAGCGTCCATCTTCAACCCGCACAATCTTGGTGCTGAAATGTAGAATTATCAGTAATAAAAAATATAAAAGTACTCTAATTTCTGACTCTAATGCATCCTCAGACAAACAACGTCACATTAAAAATTAATCAGCAAACAAACTTAAAGATAAGTAACACATGCTAATCATAAAAGCTAATGGTGTCACAGTATACAGGCACCTTTGTGTGCACTGTACACACACAACAGTTATCCTATAAGTCGATATATATTGCATTGCGGCACTTACTACAGTTTAGAATATGGGGCCCGAGTGTGTCGCATAGAAAAGTCACCATCTCCAGGCCATGGTAAAGTGGAAAGAAAATAACAAATAATAATGTGCATAGAGTTATACAGTCACTGAGTCCACAAAGATATTAGTTGAAACTGTATAACTCCTTTCTTGCAGGCACCATCACTGAACAAAGCATGACCAACCTAACTTGACCTACAACTCTATTTGTTTGAGTTGTTTCTCTAGATCACAGATAATGAAGAAGAAATGTGATTACTTTAATGTCTCAGAATAATGTTTGGCAGCAAATGCATGCATATGATACCCTTTTAGCATGTAGTATGTCAGTGTCATTACCGCTATAACAGGAAATATCACCCACAGGATTATAATCGAGGGAAGAGGTACAATTAATGTTACAGAACCTACTGATTTACAATATACGGTAGCATTAGTCTATAATTTGTGCAAAATGATGAAAATTAGCATGGAAGATATTATATTCTTGAGTGATTTAGTTTAGGGATTAGCAGCATTCTGAAATTTTTAAGAGGAAAATTACAGAAAAGCTTAAATGACATGATGCAGTAACTCCTGATCAAGTTTATGACTTTGCTACAAGATTCGAGTAATGGTGGTATTTAATGCAGTGTTATAAAACAACCCTTTAGGATAGGAATTCCTCATGGCAGAAACAAAACAATGTTTGAGTACTTTTAGTTGTACTATCAATCTTTACTATGTGGTTGGTGCCTTTTATGTAACAAGATAAGTTTCACCAATAGAGTTGAAGTGCTTTTGAACTTCTAAATCAGCAACCACTTTACCAAATACAATGATAATAATCAGCTAGATAGAGAAAGATAGAGAGGCCAAACTTTAAATTCAAAACTCATATACAAGCTTAGACATAAGTCCTGATTTCTTGCTTGAGATGTGTAAAGAAAATTAACCGGTTTTATTGTTTGAGATGAGGGAGATAAAGAGTTACTGCCATGGTTCTTTGTATAGACCATTTTCTAAAACGGGTTGTATCTCAACCTCTGAGTGAACTGTTAAACAGAGATTAACAAATTGACCTTGTATTGAATATGGATATCCAGTTTAGTTCCACCATAGCAGAGCTCTGTTGTCCACGCCTTTCAAGTGCTTGGGATGTCAACTTAATGTTTTAATTTTATTGATTCAGTGCCAACCAAAATAATTCCTTCAATAACATTCTTGGTAATGGGATCATTCTGTATATGAAAGTCAGAAATGCAAGTCCCAGCACTAGTTTCCCTATTGCATTTGATCTACATCAGAGATGATATAGATTTTGATGGGAAAGCAGGGATAGAGCATAATCATACTTGAGGAAATAGACTGAAAAGGGGTAATCAAAGAAGGCCATGGAAAGGAATGTCTGCTGCGTGGACTAAGCTTCAAAAGAATACAGAGATATCTTTCTGAAGGCCATCACAAATATGGAATTTGAGCTTCTAATTGGTTTTATATCAGACTGTATGAATTTGTATATCAATGACTACCTGTAGAAACTCGAGTTATAAGAAGTTAAGCTGAAGGCAGGAAGCTGCTCGTCAACATATGGTTGTAATACGTGAACCCGACTTTCTGCAAGTTATCCTTAGACTTCGCTTCTTTGCTTCTTTTACATGTGATGTATTCTCCTATGTTACATGGAATACTTTACAATCTAAACCTTCTTTGCGTCATCATATCTCACACGATATTTTTTGCATTACACTTTTATCCTTGTGGAAATCTAGTTTCTTGATCACCAAGCATTTTTAACCATGAAGCATGGCTGGTCTATAATCATCTACCAACTTCTTTCTTATACTTCAAGGGTAACTTTGACAAATAACATCATAAGGCATTTCCACATCAGCAACCCTTCTGACCCGCTCTAAATATACTGAAATTTTAAGTCTATTAACATTGCCCACTATATAAACTTTGAGATGAATGATGATTACTATAGCGATATCAATAATTCTTTCTTTTAGTCTTGTTGAACTTTCCAAGAAGGTATTTTACTGTTTTACTAGATTATAGTAATGAATTATTCAAAAGATGTGTATTCCTGCTAAACTTAGGAAATCTCATGTTTCTGATCATCATTCTTCAAAATCATTCCGTCAAATGCAATATGATGCAAAACCCAAATTTGAGAATGCCCCCTTGATACTTCAACAATTCATTGTCCTTCCTCAACCGTGTCATATACGAGTAACGCTACAATATAAACTACAAGTTTAAGAGAGTATATGATTGCCTTATTGCAGAGTAGAGAGGGATATAAGATGTGATTGCCTGAATAAAGGAAAGAGTACACTGTGCAAACTTCAATCCAAGAAGCAGCTCATATAGCTATATAAGCTTCAGTCACAACAAGTTTCATTACTAAGAAACATTTTAAATAATTAACCACACAATTAACCTTCGTAAAGATCAAGTAATTCTCCATATCGTCATTGTCTAGATTTGATCTAGATGGGGTAGTTTAGATAAAGCATGTGATTACAAAGAAAAGTTGAATACAAAAGAAAACAACATCAACCGTAGTTTATCTTGGGCAATTCCGATTCAAACAAATAATCATGCATCACGTAATGATGAGGTGGATGAAATGATCAAGTTCAGAAATGAGAAGGTTAGATTAGATTACTATCTTGGCTTTTTCGATTAAAACACAAAACACAGTTAGAAATATCAAAAACTATAAAAAGAAAATGAAATTCTAAATTATAAAAATAAAACATGATTAGATTATCAGGAAATCGATTTCTCAACAAAATTTAGGGTTTCTAAGCAGAAGGAAATAATTATTACCTCGGGGAATCCACGAACAAGCTTAGCGTTCGGGCAAGATCTCATTCCTCGAATAAAAGAACCTACTTTTTTATGCAACTGGTCGGATTTGGATCGGGTTCTATAAAACCCACTTCCAGATCCGAACCCGCTAAAATTTAAGAACCCGCTAAAAGTCCTAACCTACATAAATAGAAGGGAAAAATGCTTCCAGCCCCCAAAAGCCAAGAAAACGTGCTTCCTCCCCTCTCAAGACTTTGTCAACGGGTGTTTTACCCCTAAAAATAAAGATTTTATTCTCTAAGCCCCCAAAACACAAAACCCAAGAGATTAAAATATGTGAAGATCATAATACCCTTCTCTCTCTCTCTCTCTCTTTTTATCATGATGTACTGAGATGATAGTTAAAATGATTGATGGGAATTATTTTATTATTTTTGTTTTTTATTATTTTCGTTGTTTGTATTGGGAGATTGTTAAAGTTACGGGTTTTTTTATTATTTTCGTTGTTTGTATTGGGAGATTGTTAAAGTTACGGGTTAATTGTTAATGTTACGAGTTAATTGTTAATGTTACAGGTCAATTGTTAAGGGTATGAATTCTCTCTTTTTATCATGATGTTACTGTGATGATGTTGAAATGATTGAAGGGGATTGTTATTTTATTATTTTTGTTTTTTTATTATTTTCGTATTTTTAGAATATTCGTTGTTAAGGATAATGGTTGGTTGTAAAGGTTATGTATTTAAGGTTACAAGTTTGTTGTTAAGGTTATGGGTTTGTTGTGTAGGTTACGGGTTTGATGTTAAGGTTACGGGTTTAATTGTTAAGGTTATGGGTCAATTGTTAAGGTTACGGGTTTAATTGTTAAGATTACGGGTTTAATTGTTGGTTGTAAATGTTATGCATTGGTTGTGAATGTTACGGGTTGGTTGTAAATGTTATGCATTGGTTGTGAATGTTACGGGTTGGTTGTTAAGGTTACGGGTTGGTTGTTAAGGTTATGGATTTGTTGTGTAGGTTAAGGGTTAATTGTTAAGGTTACGGGTTTAATTGTTAATTGTTAATGATAATGATTGGTTGTAAAGGTTGTGCATTGCTTGTAAAGGTTATGGGTTGGTTGTTAAGGTTATGGGTTTGTTGTGTAGGTTACGGACTAATTGTTAAGGTTACGGATTTATAACCTTAACAATTAACCCGTAACCTTAACAATTAAACTCGTAACCTTAACAATTAAACCCATAACCTTAACAATTGACCCGTAACCTTAACAATTAAACTTGTAACCTTAACAATTAAACTCGTAACCTTAACAATTAAACCGTAACCTTAACAATTAAACTCGTAACCATAACAATTAAACCCGTAACATTAATACTTGATCCGTAGCCTTAATAATTAAACCTGTAACCTTAACAATTAAACCTGTAACCTTAATAATTAAACCTATAACCTTAACAATTGACCCGTAACATTAACAATTAAATCCATAATCTTAACAACAAACCCGTAACCTACACAACAAACCCATAAGCTTAACAACAAACCCGTAACCTTAACAACCAACCCGTAACCTTAACAATCAATGCATAACTTTTACAACCAATCATTATCCTTAACAACGAATATTCTAAAAATACGAAAATAATAAAAAACAAAAATAATAAAATAACAATCTCCTTCAATCATTTCAACATCATTACAGTAACATCATGATAGAGAGAGAGAGAGAGGATCAATAACCTTAATAATTAACTCGTAACCTTAACAATTAACCTGTAACTTTAACAATCTCCCAATACAAACAACGAAAATAATAAAAAACAAAAATAATAAAATAATCCCCATCAATCATTTTAACTATCATCTCAGTACATCATGATAAAAAGAGAGAAAGAGAGAGAGAATGGTATTATGATCTTCACATATTTTAATCTCTTGGGTTTTGTGTTTCGGGGGCTCAGAGAACAAAATCTTTATTTTTTAGAACAAAACTCCCGTTGACAAAGTCTTAGGGGGGGCACGTTTTCTTAGCTTTTGGGGGCTGGAAGCATTTTTCCCTAAATAAAAATATTCATAGACTCCTTTTTGGGTTTGGATTATCATAAGGTAAACATTTTACTTAACATGTCCTCTTTCTTTTGAGATATAACGATTTGACCAAGTTTCCCTTATTTATATTATTATTGAACATATTAAATTGAAAATATGTGAGTTTGAGGATCAAAGGAAAATAGCACCAAGGCATACTTTTATTTTATTAGAATATTTTGGACCCGTAAGGATAAACAGCTACGTGTCATTTTCTTAAAACTTAACCTAGATTAATGGCTATCGTAAATATACATGTCTAGCTCGTAGTCTTGTCACATAATTTTGGGTTCGAGATTTATCTCTAAGCATTTCATAGTTAACGCGTGTCATTTTATAGTCCGTCAACGAGATATATATCGTTATTTTAAGAATTATTTATTGTGAGTAGATAGCTAGAAATTAAGGTACACGTACAAGAGGTTTGGTATTACTTATTGACTGAAAACTAAAATATTGATCAATTACTATGCATCTTGATGTGACCACCATACGATTTGTCGAACAATGCCCTCTAGTTGATCAAAATCAGAGCGAGATCATGTGGAGAACTATTCTTCTATATTTAAAGGAGAATATAAAGAATTACTGTTTATTCTATATTAATGCTATAATAATTGTAGCATGAACAATTACTTAAATCTGGTTCCCTAAACTAGAAGTTACTATTTATGCTATAGTAATTTGTTGTAGCATAAGCATAAAATCAAATCTGCTCCTCTGTAACTGAAGTTATTATTTATGCTACAGTAATTTACTATATTATAAACAGTGAAACTTGCAAACTTATTTAAGCATAGAGGAGTATATATGATTTCTAAATCAAATGTATTAAAACTTGGATCCTTTTTTAAGTATAGAGAAATAAACATGATTTCTAAATTGAATGTATTAAAACTTGGATCTTTCTTTAAATATAGAGGAGTATATATGATATCTAATGTTAAACATACAATAATTAAATCAAATGTATAAAAACTTAGAGGAAGGCAAGTTAAAAATGCAGTGTTTAAAAAAGTAGAGGGCGGTGCTTTGCATGAGGTGCACACTAGTTGTATATAATAAATGGATCCAAGAAAATTTAAGGAAAATTCCAGTTGAGACGTGTTCAATGTAAGAAGGGATGACTGATGAAATATTAGAAAATTGAAATTGCAAGCCTGAAACTAACAAGACCTAACAATGTAATAATTTCTAATATGTTAAACAATTTGGCTTTTTTTATGCATATCATCTATGTATCTCTAAATTATAACAAGTTGGAGACTCATAGAAAAATAATAATCAGCATTAATTGGATCATTTGTTACTATATTTATATCCTAATTCACCTTTATGCGTATGTTTCAATTGTTTGGATGAATAGTAATGTAACTAAATACTAATTGGATTGCTAGCCAATTCTAACACCTTTGTCATTTTAAGCTGTATATTTTCATTCACTTCAAGCAATATAACTTATCAAATATGTCATAAGTTGATATTTTCAAAGAACGAACTGCTAAATGCAATATAATTATTGGATACAAGTTGCCCAACATGTCACCAATTATTAGTTTTGTAAGTGGTGAAGATATTATGCATAGCAATAAATCTTTTTATGTCAATGATCATGAATTTTTTGTATGTTGCGTCTTTAAAATACGTTATGTCAATTAACAAAAGCATTATAGCGAGTATCGGTCCAATTACTATTTAATTACATAATCGATCATCTAAGCAATCAAGACATGGATACGAGGTCAAATTAGGAAAAATACAATGACCAATGATCCAATTAACAGGAAAATTCAAGATATAAATAATCAGCACATTTACATCTGGAATAGAAGTAAACTAGAAAGAGTTGATACATGTATGTATAGACGACCAACAAAATATAAGAAAACTAGTGATATATGTTGTGCGCAGCGGAAATTTCGACAGAGTTTCTGGTGCACAATAAGAGAGAAAGATCGATAAGAATTCTTGTTTCTCAAAGGGAACAAGAATCTGAAAGCCTAATATCCCATCAAAGTGGGATATTTGCTCTTCCTCTCGTCAGCTCTAGGACTGCGCATCGAGGGATCCTAAAACTATTACAATGGCCACAAACTCAAACAATCAATTTTACGTGGTTCGGCAAGCTGCCTACGTCCACAGGGCAAGGAGGGGGGATCTACTATTAAAGAGAAAAAGAATACAATGGGTTTACAACTCTCACAATCTAAACCCTCAAATAGACTCCTTGCTTTTCTTCACAAGAAAATGTCAGCCTTCAAAAATCTTTTTTTCTCTTCACAAAACCTCTGATTTGCACACTGCCAAAGGAGAAGAAAAACTGCACTTTTTTTTCTGTCTGCGATTTCCTCACCAAGCCGCAGCCAACAAACAAAAGTCGCACCCCCTCACTACGCGCACGAAACCCTAGAATAGTTAGAGAATTTATAGGCTATAGCTTATTCGTTCGTGGGCCGCACATCATCCGCACACACGAAGCCGCACATCATCCGCACACACGAACGAACCCTCAAACAAGCATCCGCACCAAACATCACGTGGGTGGGGCCCCACTTCGTTCACAATTCTCCACCTCGGTGAAGTTTTCCCAAAACTGAGCCGACACCGACCAAACCAAATGTCTCACTTGTTGTGTCCAGTACACCGTGAAACAATTCACGACAACAGACTCAATCCATAACAAGTCGAGAACCCAAATGAGAATGCAAACACTCTCCAAATGTCAGTATCAACTCACCAAATCGATCTCACCCCCATCAAATAATCCAACCCGGCTGCATCATAAAGACTGCCTACGTATCCTCTTGCCCAAGGAATCAAGCCGAACGTAGTTCACCCAAATGGCCGCGAACGACCTCAAACCAATAGAAGAGTTCGCAACCCTTCTCCAATATCATCAACTCTGCGACTGATAGCACCTCCAATGGCCTCAAACACCTCCACCTGAGGTGAACCAATGACCATATCCAAGCTACATCTATCAGCTGCACTC